CTGCTGGGGTTATTTCCTTCTGGTTCCAGAGCTGACGTGCCTTGCAGGGTTAAAGCCACTCTGACTTAGTTTCCTTTTCTTAAATCACGAGTCAACGGTGGAGCAGGTGCTCAGATCAGCAGCTAAGAGATGCATCTTACATCCAGAAGCTTCTGTCTGGCCATCTCTCAATCATCCACGTTAAAAGACAGCCTTCATAAAGAGGCCAAATCATGGCTCTGAAGCAGATAGACAATAAACGCATACTGACGATTTTATTTAACTTGTATTTAGTAGGGGAGCTGGTAAGATGTTCCAGCCAGGTCAAAGGAGAGTGAAAAAGCATAAATTTACAGGGAGAAAAGGAATAGATGGAGCTGGCTGGTCCACGGTTGGGCAGAGGGAAGTCAGCCTTGCTCCCGCCACCACTCCCCTGCAGAATTCATCTGCATCCCAGCCAGTCTCCTGAGACACAGACTGGGAGGCTTAAAGCAGCAGAGCTTTCCCCTCCCACAGTTCCCGAGACCAGAGTCCTCTCCAGGTGTCCCAGGTTTGATTCCTTCTGGAGGCTCCGGAGAGGCTCCCTCCTTACCAGCAGTCCTGGAGCTGCTTGTCTCGTAAATTCATCACTCCACTCGCTGCCTCCTTCTTCCCACGGCTTCTCCTCTGTCCAGGTGCCTCACATCTCCTCTCCTTTCTCTTACGAACACACCAGTCACTGGCTTCAGGGTCCACCCTAAATCTAGGGTGCTCTTACCCAAAAAGTCTTACCTTGATGACATCTGCAGAGACCTGTCTCATTAGGTCACATGCATGGGAACCAGGCGTGAGCGCCTGGACGTGTCTCTGGGGGCACCATTCAACCCACTGTCCATAAATAAGACTTACCTGGATTGCTATTGTTTACCCAACATTTACAGAGTGTAAACGTGTCCGAAGGCGGCAAGAGAGTAGACTCGAAAGCCCCAGGAGGAGCTGGGGACGGCCCCTCGTCTTTGAATCGTTGCTGCTTGCTCCGGATTGCCTTACACTCAGTCCTCAAAATTGTGTCTAGGCTCCCAGAATGACAGACATGTCTTTTTATGCCCATTGGCCACTGGGTGCTGTAGGCACTGGACCTGGGGGAGCTGGGGGACCTAGGGGAGCTGGTAAGCTGTGCTGTGGACAGGGGATCTGGGGCCCATGGGGCCCACCTGGAAAGCCCAAACCACCACCACACAACCCCGATCTTCTGCCCTCTCCTCCTTGCCTCCCGCAGTTCCTTCCACTACTAGAGGGCCTGCCTGCCTCAGGGCCTTTGCGCGTGCTGCTCTCCTAATGGGCTCCTCTCCAGGGGTCGGCAGGCATTGCCCCTCTTCAGTTGGTTTCTGTTCAGAGGAGCCCCCTGCACCTGCCCTCCCAGCCCCACTGCACTCTGCGCCACACGCTGTGAATCTGCCTCAGGCCGTGAGCTCTGGACTGCGTCCTCTCCACCCTGCATCCCCAGCACCCAGAACTGCGCCTGCCCTATAGCCATCACTGCCAGCACCTTTCCAAGGATGAGGGCCTGCCCTCGCTGCCGGCCTGGGAGGAAAGTGGCTCCCTCCTGGCCTCCCCCGACCCCCACCCAGCTCCATCTCCTCATACTTGGTCTGGGCCGGCCCAGGTGGAATGGTACCTGGGTCCCCTCTACCTCCTGGCTTGGAACACAGAGCCCGGCAGGGGGCTGCCTCCCTTTCACGGCCAGGGCTGAAGGATGGGGTGAAGGAGGGAATGACCACCTATTTACAGGGAACAAGGAACCAGGCTGGACGGGAGGCGTCGGGTGGGCGGAGGAGGCCCCCGGGGAGGGAGGCAGTGGGCTCACAGAGAAGGACGACAGGCGCCTTCTGTCCCGCAGGGGCTGCGGAGTCAGAGCCCGCTGCCCACGCTGTGCTCAGGCCCCAGGGTGGGATGCGGGCCCCGGGGCAGGAGGGAATCGGGTGGTCCTGGCCCCGTCCCTGGGGGCCACCTGGAGCCCTGCTTCCGTGGGAGCCGTGCCTGAAGCCTCTTCCACGGTCCAGGTGGGACGGGCGCTCCGTCAGCGCAGGCTCAGGGAGGGCCGTGGACAGAAGCAGGCTGGGGTCCCCGGGGACATTCCAGGTGCTTTCAGGAGACCCATGCACGTTTCTCTGCCCCCTACGCGCACAGGGACTCAGAAAGCCCCGCAGACGGGGTCACGGGGGTTGCTTTCCAGAGAAGCAGGTCCCGAGTCTGCGCTTGGACCACGTCCCTCCAAATACACGGCTCCCGGCAAAGCAAACAGAGCCAGACCCGGCGCTGCAGCGTGTCCTCCGGCCCGACTCGAGCCCCTGCCACAGACTCACCCAGGTGGGCAAACGCCTGTCCTCCCGTCCCTCCGCGCGTCTTCAGCTGGGGGGCCTTCCCCGCCTGGCCCGGGGACGCAGCGGGCAGGGGGGACCCCCGCCCCTGTCCTCTGGCAGCCCACCACCCCTCCTCCTCCAGGAAAGCCCCTCACCCTACAGGTGCCCTAACACGGGGCATCAGGTCACCTGCTGGGCCTCAGCCAGAGGGAGGGGGTTGGGCCCCTATTTGCAAGAACTGCTGTGCAGGGAGCGGTATAGCTCAAGCGGCAGAGCACATGCTTAGTGCGCATGAGGCCCTGGGTTCAGCCCCCGGTACCTCCTCTAAAATAAATAAATAAGCCTAATTACCTCCCCTCAACAACAAAAGAAAAAAAATTACCTCCCAAGGGGCCTGGGAGGGGGCTGTGGCTCTGAGACCCCGGGAGGGGAGGGGAGAGCTCAGGAGGATGGGGGGCGGCTCTGCAGGGCACTCGGGAGACCCGGGGGCCCAGTCCCTGGCGAGCAGGCAGGTGCAGGTGTATTTGCAGCCCGAGGAGTGAGGCCACCACGCTGAGGAGTGAGGAGGCAGAGGAGGCCCTAAATGGGGCCCGCCCACACTCGGAGGCAGGGAGGAGTGTCAGCAAGGGTCCGCGCCGGGCGGCCCGTCTGGGTGGCGCTGAGAGCGGGACCCTCTCTTCGCTGTGCTCGGTGTGTTTCCAGGAGGCCACCTCCTGGCCACAAGGATCCACTTAAGTGCCCCCCAAAATGAACAACAATAATAACAGCCCCCACTAGATGCATCACTGTGAACTTCAGAATATCAAGGGGGGAAAGGAGGTCATGAAAGATCTTTGAGGAGCAAAATACCTGCCACCCACGGAGGAGTGAGGACTGACTGTCTGCAGCTGGAGGTACAGAGGTCGGCAGAGTGGTCCATCCAGATGCTGCCGGAGGTTACTTTTGCTGAGAATTCACTCACTGAACAAACGATCCGTCAAGTGCAAAAGTGGCTAAGGCTGTTTTCAGACACGTAAAAGCCCAGAAAACACACTGCCCACACACCCTTTCTTAGGACACAACTTTAGCAAAATGAGGAGATAAACCAAGAAAGAAAAAGATGTGGGTCCCTGAAGCAGTCTCTCCAGCTCATGGGGACAGTGTTGGGAAAGCCAGGACAGTCCCTCTGAGCAGGTGTGGAGAGCAGCCAGTTCAACGCGGAGCAGGAGGATGGAGGGCTCTGGAGGGAAGTCCCTGGGGATGGGAAAGGATCCCTGATACTGTGGATTGAGTTGTGTCCAGGAAGAAATGTGCAAGCCCTGCCCCCCCGGTACCGTGAAGGTGACTGTATTTGGAAACAGCGTCTTTGCAGATGTGATCCAATTAAGGGGCAGCAACACAGGGCCAGAGCAGGCCCTCACCCAGTATGACCGGTGTCCTTATAAGAAGAGGAGAGACAAACAGACACAGAGAGATGACCATGTGACGAGGAAGGCAGAGATTGAGCTGATGTGGCTTCCAGCCAAGGAAATCCAAGGACTGCTGGCAACTGTCAGAAACTGCAAAAAACAAGGAAGGATCCTCCCTCAGCATTGTTGCAAAAGGAGCATGGCCCTGCTGGCACCTTGATATTGGACTTCCTGCCCCCTGAACTGTGAAAGAATAAACTTCTGTTGTTTTAAGCCATGCCACTTTGTGGCCCTTGAGTACACAGCCAGAGGAAACCAATGCACCTGACGTGAGGGAGAGTTGGGGGAAAATGAGGGTATGATTAAAACAGTGTAAGGGAAAAAAACA